GAAAATTTTAAATTAAAAATTGACAAATGGTTATGATAAAATTGAACAAACAAACAAATGAACGGATGAGCGAACGAACGAATGAATAAATGAATGAATGAATGAACGAACGAACGAACGAATGAATGAATGAATGCATGATTAAATGATGAGCTAATCGAGTGATCGAATAAATGAAAGAATGAATGAATAAAGAAAAGCAATCAACACATTCCATCAAAAACTACATGTACATAATGTAATGCACAACTCACCTATCAACGACAGTGCTTCAAATCCTGCAATCTACCTTACGAAAACTCACGAGCTACTACAACTACTTCTACTACAACTACTACTGCTACTGCAAAGAAATCATCGCCATCATCACTATCACCACCCTCAACAGCAGCAGCAGCAGCTTCTCCGGCAACTTTATTTTGCAAGGATGGATGCTCAGATGTAAGATGTTAAATTTTTTTTCAACCCTTTTTTCCTAGGTAAAAAGGATTGCCGTGAAATTACTTTTCTTTTGAAAGAGCTGTTAACGATGCTAATAAGAATATTTCAATTTATTTTTTTCAATATTTTTATTATTATTTATGTTATTATTGCTATTTTATTATCAATAATAGCAATTTTATTAATATAAATTTTGTTATTTTAGTACAAAATATTATATACATATATATATATATATATATATATATATATATATGGAAAAATTTAGATTAAAATTAACAGAGCAAAGGCGAAAATGAGGGAATGCGCAGCCGTGTGTGTGTGCGTGCGTGTACTTGATTATATGAATGTGTGCGTGTGTGTTTGTTTGTTTGTTTGTGTGTGTGTGTGAACCAATCTTGACAGAAGTCTTCTTCATAGCTCCTCATAGCCCACCTTTAATACACGCTGTTTCACACACGCACACACAAACATACGCAAAATTTTATACAGAAATACACCAGTAAACGCACACACACGTACAAATGAACTGACAAATTTACAGAACAAAACGTAAATACACAGATAGACACAGATAATCAAACATACACTCATATATTTACATTTATGTTCATATACATATTCTACATAGCCAGCATTCAAATTCTCACACAAAACACACACACAAACGAACGAACAAACACACACAGTCAAATGCATATAGAGAAGAAGATGATGATAGACATTGTTCATCACATAAAAATAATTAAATACACATGCCCGCTTTTTGTGTGCAGATAAAATGAAATTTAAACATAGGAACATACCTGCGTAAACATACACGATGATGTTTGCATACATACATACGTATTTATATAGCTAATTACAATACATACCTAGATATATACTTAATTATGATACTTAACTTAGATATATATCGCCTTATATATGATATATATCCAGATATATGCTCAATGATGACACCTGACCTTGATATATATCTTATAACGAATAACTAGTACAAAAGTTTCAAAATGTAGAGGTAATGGGATTTTTTAAAAATATCACGACATTATAATCAACGCATACGCACGTATGTGAAAATACAAAAAAACAAACAAACAAACACATACAGAAAAACAAAACATACAAACGAACAAATACATACAGAAAAACAAAACATACAAACTCAGGCACACGTGTACCTCACAAAACGATCAATCAAATGATCGCTACAGGTGCCCCTCATTTCAAATATACGCGCACACACGCGCACACAAACACACACAAACACACACAAACGCATGCATAATCACACAAACACATACACATGCACACATACAAATAAATTCATGCGAGCTCGTACACACATTTGCGCAAATACAATTACATCACACACGCAAAAGCACAACAACCTAGAAATCATCACCAAAAAATAACACGCTCACACACACACATACACACACACACATACGCACACATATATACATAAACACACACATAAATGCAAGTGACACAGTAAGCCAATTTTTTCGTGTCAACACGCGGCATTCACAAACAATTTTAAAATGACAAACGCTAATTACGTCAACCTGACGTCATTACGATGAAAGCCCACAACACATATAAACGAATGAACGTAAACTTTTATAATGAATAGAAATATATGCGTGTTAAATAGATACACTTACACTTGAATAGATCGATAGATAGACAGATACATAATAAATACACACAGTGGATACATATAATGGATACTGATAAATATAATAATGCAAATGTTGTTCTTTCACTACACGTGCTTTTAAATAAAAATTACTTGAGATAAAAACTTATTGTGAAATATGTACGTACATGTAGATGCGAATAAAATTAATCATCGACAAACAATAAGGAAATTAAAAAATTATATTTGAAATCATGTCCTATGAATGAATGATTGAACGAAGGAACGAACAAATGAATAAATGATAGAATGAATAAATGAATGAATGAATGAATGAATGAATGAATGAATGAATGAATGAATGAATGAATGAATGAATGAATGAATGAATGAATGAATGAATGAATGAATGAATGAATGAATGAATGAATGAATGAATGAATGAATGAATGAATGAATGAATGAATGAATGAATGAATGAATGAATGAATGAATGAATGAATGAATGAATGAATGAATGAATGAATGAATGAATGAATGAATGAATGAATGAATGAATGAATGAATGAATGAATGAATGAATGAATGAATGAATGAATGAATGAATGAATGAATGAATGAATGAATGAATGAATGAATGAATGAATGAATGAATGAATGAATGAATGAATGAATGAATGAATGAATGAATGAATGAATGAATGAATGAATGAATGAATGAATGAATGAATGAATGAATGAATGAATGAATGAATGAATGAATGAATGAATGAATGAATGAATGAATGAATGAATGAATGAATGAATGAATGAATGAATGAATGAATGAATGAATGAATGAATGAATGAATGAATGAATGAATGAATGAATGAATGAATGAATGAATGAATGAATGAATTGAATTTTATTCTTTTTCTCATTATTTGCCGTGCGAGTCAATTAGTTATTTATACCCTATCCTGTTCTATCTCATTGTTTTTCACATTATTTTATCTCCATCTCCCTCTCTCTCTCTCTCTTTTTCTCTCTCTATTTTCATCCCTCCCCTCTCTCTTTTTCTCTGTTCTCCTTTTACTAGAGCGCTTTCAAATGAAATTAAAGTAGGAGCAATTATCTTTGCTACAGCTACGGTCTCTTATGTTGAAGGGGGTGCATAATTAGCACACAATTTAATTAATTACAATTAATTAACAGTTAACGAACAAAAAACAATTATTATTAATTGACAAATTAATGAACGAGCATCACTAATTGAAAAAGATTCAAGTATTTTTAGAATCGTGAGAACCCTGAACTTGTGATGAAGATAATAATTATCGGAATAATAATTGAGGAGAAAGAATCGCGAAAAACAACAGAGAAACAACAATAAATTTTTCGTCAACTGCAACTCATATTTTCACCATCGTCATCATCATCGTCATAATCATCGTCATCATCATCATCATCGTCATCATCATCATCGTCGTCATCGTCATCATAGTCATCATCGTCATCGTCGTCAGCATCGTCGTCATCATCATCATCATCATGGCAGCACAACTCGACTCGGAAAGAGAGCAGACGTTTGAAGAAAAGATGGCAGGCACCATGCTGGGTATCGTGACGTCATTACTGACAACTTCCGTCTATGATAATAAATGCTGAACATTCATATCACCTACTAAGCGGTCGTCCCGGTTTGCACATTTTACACACACGCTCACACATATACACATACACACATACATACACGTACATACACGCACGTACACACATTGCCATGTGTACGAAAGTACACACACACACGTACATTCACTACACTCACACGCATATTCATTCAGAGAAAGAGAGAAAGAGAGAAAAAGAGAGAGTATGAAAGAAAGAGACTTGAGTACTTTCACGTGCACACATGCACACGTACACAGCACACACGATTTGATTTACATACACAGGCAAGTACATATCTCTGCAATGTTTCACAGTTCGATGCTTCCAGACATAAAAAAAATAATCAAATCTTGATGAACGTCCAACAATTAAAAAATTAAACAAACTCCATTTTATATTACAGACGCACACATACATAAACACATAGACACATATACATTTCTCTCTTCCTCTCTCTTCTCTCTCTCTCTCTTTCTCTCTTTTTCCATAACACACGCACGCTCACACACACACACACACACGCGTGCGCGCGCGCCCACACTGCACTCGCTTTTATATTTCAATCGATCGTGTTCTCGATAATTTAGATCGATATTATTGCATTTTATTTTTCTGTAAGATGTTGTGCATCTATGTGTGCGTATATGCTTATGTATGTGTGTGTATGTGTGTGTGTATGTATGTGTTTGTTTTTGCTTGTGTGTGCGTGTGAGTGAGTGAGATAAATTTAGTTACGGAAATTGTGAGATAATCCCTTGCACTATAACAGATCAACAAGAAAAATGAAACCATCGAAAATATAATCGATATTTTTTTATTGCTCTTAACAAAATCAAACTTAAAAATTTGTAAATCTAGAGATTCTTCAATTTTAAGACATTCAAAATGCCATAACTCATAAGACATTAAACAAAACAGAACGAAATGGAAAAAACATTATATTTAAAATCTGACTCTAACAACTCAGTCAAAAATTACAGTAACAACAACAACAAACAAACAAATATTACAACAACAAAAACAACACAACTTTAAAAACAGCAATAAAATTTTATGTATAAAAAACTCAATGACATTAGCATATTTAACGGGAATTGGTAACACTAATCAATAACATCAACCTTGATATTAATAGTACTTGAAGACATTTCTGACATCAATATAGCAACATCAACATTGGTCGTATTAATTACAGTTATATCAACACAAATCATATCGTTACATTACATCGCGAAAGACATTAGTAATGTTGTTAAATAAACAATGCCTGATGAACATAGGCGTAAAATAGTAACTAAATTAATCATTGATAGTAATAATACAAGTGTTAATGTAATAATAATAATTATTATTATTATAACAGCAATAATATCATCACCATCATCATCAATAACATTACTATCATCAACATTTTCAACAAAAAGACCATCATCACCGTCACCGCCGTCGTCGTCATCATCATCATGATGATGATGACGACGTCATCATCATCATCATCGTCATCATCATCATCATCGTCATCATCATCATCATCATTACCATCATCATCTTCATCATCATCATCATCATTACCATCATCATCTTCATCATCACCAACGATCGTGTAATGAACTAATTGCAGGATACAGAGTGTCTGGAAAGCTGTCACATGATCACGGAAGCTCTCATGACGTCATCATCATCGTCATCGCCATCATCATCGTTGTCATCATTGAGGAACAATATATGCGGATTGAACTGTCGGATCAAATTTTACGCTGGCAAAAGCACCAATAATAATAATAATAACAACAACAAAAATAATAACAATAATAATAACAGTGACAATAATAACAATGACAACAATAATAAAAATAATAATAATAACGACGATTATGATGATGATGGTGGAGTTGGTATAAGGAAGCCAGTAAAGCTGAAAAGAGAGACCGTTGGTTATAAAAGAAATAAAAATAATAAAATAAACAGCAACAACAACAATAATAATAACAACAATAAGAATAGCAAGAGTAACAATGATGAAAATGATGAAGCATTTTATCTGCACGACTCGAACGATTATAACAGTGATAATAAAAGTTCGAAAAATTTGAAGAATAAGAAAAAAAATACAGACGCAAATTCAAGCGAAAATGTTAATAAAAAAAATGATGACAATGATGATGATGATGATGACGATAATGATGATGATTTTTATGATAAGGAGATAATTTACGACTACGATACAAGTGAGTACGACGATGATGACGACGATGATGACACAACCATCATTAACATTCACGATGATGATGATGAAGAAGACGACGATGACGATGATAGTAGTGATTTTGATCGAAAATGTGTAAAGGAATGCAGTAATGTCATCAAAAAAGGTTATTTGCGAATTAATTTTTTGGATTGACTTGGATAAAAAATTGACCGATTAATTATAGCTCTTGTATTTTTGTACTTAAGTATTTTGTCACTATTGCAAAAATGTTTATGTATGTATGTATGTATGTATGTATGTATGTATGTATGAATGTATGTATGTATGTATGTATGTATATATGTATGTATGTATGTATGTATGTATGTATGTACGTACGTACGTACGTACGTATGTATGTATGATGTATGTAATTGGGTGTTGTACAAAGAAAAGCGCTTGCACGCATTCACACGTACGTACGAGTGCGATTGTCAACTGGTATTGATTTATTGGTAACAGTTTGTTTTTTACTCTGTTGTGCATCTATCTCATTGGTTAATTCATTCATCAGTCCGTCTTTTGGTTTATTTCCTCTTTCAGTCTTTCATTCGTTAGTTCAATTATTAATCTGTTCATTTGTTTGTTCACTTGTTTGTTCGGTAGTTTGTTCGTTCGTTTGTTCATCATTTGATGCCCTTGGTTTTTTCTTTGTTTATAAAACTACATTTATACTTTTTAATTTATTTAATTTTTTTGCAGTCGTTCTTTTATCTCATTCATTTTTTACACTATTTTTCATTCCATCCATTTTTGATCTCACGTAATTCATTCATTCGTTCGTTCGTTCGTTCGTTCATTCATTCGTTCATTCATTTCTTCGCTCTTTCATTCATTTCATTACTCGCTCGTTTCCTCGTAACTTATTGTTAGCGTTAATAGCATTTCAGCGTTGAGGACATATTCGGCGCGACGACCAGTGTGAATTGATGATGATGATGGCGAAGATGATGATGATGATGTCAATGATGATGATGATGTCAATGATGATGATGATGGTGGTGGTGGTTATGATGACAATGATAAAGCAAAAACAAAAGTTATGTGAGTTGTAGAGTAGACAGTAGAAGTAGCAGCAATAGCAGTAGCAGTAGCAGCAGCAGTAATTTCAGAAGCAATACAATTGATAGCACTTGTAATAACATTTAAAGTCGCAAGTCATGTATTGAGATGGGGCTAGCTTAGTGGAGCGTGTTGATTTATGAAATCTCTTTCATTCCATTGTATCAATCATTTCTCTATATTTACATATCCACACGCATATCCAAGACTGCTCAAACATACATCACCCATCCATCCACACACACACACACACACACACACACACACACACACACACACACACACACACACACACACATCTACACACACAGACACGTTCACACACACACACACACACACACACACACACACACACACACACACAACATACAATCAAGCACATAGTGTTTGCGTTTACTGTAATGAATACACATTAATATTCGTGCGTAAAATGAAAAATAAAATTTATAACCTTAGACAGCGCCATCATTCACACTAAATTACACAAAATTAATTTCTTAAATGGCATTTAAAAAATTAATTTGCATATAATTCATAATAATTTTTGAACTTTATCATCAATTGCGGATGAAGTTAAATGGATGTGACAAATAGTGTATAGAAAAACTTTGAATATGTATCCAAAATACGTACACTTTTAATTTAACTGTACACTAAACATCAAAACACGTCATCTTCTTCTCACATACACTCTTTATCCAATTCCTTGGACAACCTCCGGAGAATTCTCTCCAATTCCTGAGTTTTTTTCTTCAGGTCATTCTCAAACAAAATTTAATTTAATTGTTAGAAAAATTTATCGTGCATTGATATGGCACTATGTATGTATGTATGTATGTATGTATGTATGTATGTATGTATGTATGTATGTATGTATGTATGTATGTGTGTGTGTGTGTGTGTGTGTGTGTGTGTGTGTGTGTGTGTGTGTGTGTGTGTGTATGTATGTATGTATGTATGTATGTATGTATGTATGTATGTATGTATGTATGTATGTATGTATGTATGTATATGTGTGTGTGTGTGTGTGTGTGTGTGTGTGTGTGTGTGTGTGTGTGTGTGTGTGTGTGTGTGTGTGTGTGTATGTATGTATGTATGTATGTATGTATGTATGTATGTATGTATGTATGTATGTATGTATGTATGTATGTATGTATGTATGTATGTATGTATGTATGTATGTATGTATGTATGTATGTATGTATGTATGTATGTATGTATGTATGTATGTATGTATGTATGTATGTATGTATGTATGTATGTATGGATGTATGTATGTATGTATGTAAGGGGAGTTACGTTATATAACATTTTATTTCAAATAGTATTGAAAAATTTTTCACATTCGTCTGCGGGCGGGTCAGTAACATTAAAACAAATTTTTCAACTACATAGTGATTATTGTTGGTTTTTGGTTAGTTGAATGGCTGGCCAATCGGTTGATTGATTGGTAGGATGGTTGGTTGGTAGGATAGTTGGTTTGATGGTTGATTGGTTGGGTAGTTGACTGGTTGGTTGGTAGGATGGTTGGTTGGTGGATTGGTTGGTTGGTCTGTCGGTTGGATGGTTGGTTGGATGGATGATTGATTGGTTAATTTGTTGGTTAAATGGTTGATTGATTGGTTGGTTGGTTGTTTGGATAGTTGAATGATTGATTGATTAATTGATTGATCAACCAGCGGTGTGTTCCTTCCTTCCTCGGTAACCTGGCAGAATTTATTTGTTAATACATCCTGCTTACGTAGAACGCTTTGTGTTGAAATGTGCTGTCGTGTTCAGACGGGATTAAAATGTTTTAAAATAAATTACACACGCACGCACACACAGACGGGCACACAGACAAACACACATACACACACGCACACACACACGCACACTCACACAGACACAGGCACACAATTTTAATCATATTTACAACTTCCGTCCAATACAAAACGAACTTTTCTACATGATTTTTTTTTATTTTCATTCTTCGTCCCGCTTGTTGCTGCTTTCTTCAACTAATCCAATTCATCAAATATGAAATGTTTCATATCTTCTGTTTGGTTTGAGATTGGCTGTAGGGACATTTTTGTGCTGCGTTGTGTGTGCTTTTGTGTTGTGTGTGCGTATGCGTTTGTGTTACGTGTGCGTGTGTGCGTGCGTGTATGTGTGTGCTATTGCGTAAATTTGTGATGTTCGTGTTCCCTCTTCTTTCTGCGTCTTCTTTCTCTCTCATTCTATCTACGTACATTCCTTTCTTTCTATATATCTATTTTATTTACTTAGACAGTTACAAACAATGCAACAATATCCTTATATTGTTGCATCTCTACATTGCGCACCCGTTAAATTATTTTCATACTACAATTTCATTCAATAATAATCTTCAATCACATATCTTCTACACCACCATCGCCTTCCATTCTTTCACACATTTGTAAGTATTACGTTCATTTTCACAACGCTATTTAATGCAATTTGTAACAAGATTACTTTTAATGTGTTATGTGTATGTGCATACGTGTGTGTGTGTTTGCGTGTGAGTGTATGCGTGTGTGTGTGTACTGCGTGTGTGTGTACTGCCTATTCATACATAGTACGGGGTAGTTGTAGCGGTAAATAAGTGTGTATAGTGTAACAATGTATTAAATTTACTGTAAACTGTATGTATGTACGGTACGTATGCAAAATATTACAATCTGAAACAAACTAGTTGTACGTGTATACAACATATTGGTGTGTGCATGTGACGCGTATAATATAAACCAATCAACCTTCATTAGCGAGCTACAGGTAGAGCGCGTGTTTTATTGTGTCTATCTATCTGTCTATATGTCCCTCTCACTGTCTGTCTGTCTGTATATGTGTTTGTATGTTTGTGTATGCATGTTTTTGCTTTGCATTTTTAGTTATTGTGTGTGTTTGTGTGTGTGTGTGTGTGTCTATGATTTTGGAACAATAATTTTATAGAGGAACATATCTAAAATTTCGTTTCGTTTCGTTTCGTTTCGTTTGTCTCACTCCCCGGTGATGCTGCCATGTGCAGCGTGCACGTATCTATTTGCGTACAGTACGAACACACAAATACGTATAAATGGGTATGTACTAAAATCAATGGATTGAATAGAGAAAAAAATTGAACATCTGTGTGGTTGTGTTTTGTTGTTCCACGGTGGCTGGTGTGTTGTATGTATGTTGGTTTGTTTGTTTGTTGGTTTGTTTGTTGGTTTGTTTGTTGGTTTGTTTGTTTGTCTGTGTGTTTTTCTAAAGCTCTTATTTGCATCAATGTTTTTGATGTTTTCTTTTTTTGTGTTTTTGTTATTTTCTCGTTATTTCCCATGCAGTTGTTTTGTTCGCGAGCCAAAAATGTTTCGCTAGCCTATTTACAATTTTGGTTTTAAAGTATTGCAAAAAATAAAAAAAACATGATGGCGATGAGGACGAAAATAAAGAGGAAGAGGACAAAGATGACGATGACGATGACGATGATGATTACGAGAGTGGTAATGAAGTTGGCGCCAATAGAAATGCTGATTGCCATAACGACTCCAACGTTTATAATGATGACGTGAGAGTGAACAAACACGATGAAGATGATGACGACGACGATGACTATGGCGATGACGACTGCAAAGTTGATGACGACACTGATGACTAAAATGATAATGAGAATGATGATGGTGTTTACGACAGGAATGATGTTGAAAATTATTATTATTATGACGACGACGACGACGATGATGAAAACAACGACGATGACTTAAAATTTTATGACGTCACCATGACGTAACAGGAGCGATGACGGCGCCACACGTCACAAACGTCAGCAAGAAACACATCCATCTTAAATGGTACGCAGATGGTTTCAATGAATATATCTACATCAACAACAACAACAAAAGCACCACCAACAACAACAGCAGAATAGTGTTATTTATAATAGAGAGGCGTTCAAACGACTCGTCGTCCAAATGGTCAACAGTAGTCAAGGTTGTAGTGGTCATTACATTTAATTTTAAATCATTCTTTCATCTTTCTTTTTTATCTCCTTCTCTCTCTCTCTCTCTCTCTCTCTCTCTCTCTCTCTCTCTCTTCCTCTCTCTCTCTCTTTCATCATTCTCACTGATTATTTTAGAATCAATTTTTACACTTTCATAAATTTATGCAAAAGACTTCCAAACCATTTCTCTGGAAAAATTGGAAACAAAATAAAAAATAATTTTTCTCCCGTTTCACCGTCATTAGACAACAAAGGACGCGTTCATAGATTCGCCAGCGACGTCATCATCGTCGTCGTCGTCATCACTTTGCTATCAATATCGCGTGTGGAAGGTTACCGGCGAGGGATTTCAGTCATCATCTGCTTCATCACCCTGCGTACATTTGGTTGATGGTGAGTTAGGATGATGGTGATGATGGTGATGATGGTGTTGATGATGATGGTGATGATGGTGATTTGATGATGATGATGATGATACGATGGTGGGGCTGTTAAAATGATGGGATGATGGTAAAAACGATTATTACATACAATGATGACGTCATGATTTGATTGAGATGCTGAAGATGATGTGATGATGAATGCAAAGAGGATGTTGAGGACAATTATTGTTTTTTTTATAAGGAGATTATACAGTGATGTTATTAATGATAATTTACCACTGAACATTCTAATATTCCAACGTACAACCACTCAACAAATCCAACACCCAACAATTTCAACACTCTAATATTTTAACATTTCAACATTCTAATATTCCAACATTCCAACACTCTACAATTTCAACACACCGACATTTCAACACTCACCAATTTCAACACATCAACATTCTAACATCCTAACATCCCAACACTCAATATCCAACATTCCGCCACTCAACAATTCCAAAATCCCAACATTCCACCATTCAACAATTTCAAAATCCCAACATTCAAACATCCGCAGAGCCATTTCCTCCTGGACCTCCGGAAAAGCTCTCCGAAGATGATATATTGATATCGGAGGGCAATCCCATCTGGAGCGTCTCCTGGGCTCCTCCCAGGCATTCAGATCTTCCCATCTACAAGTATAATGTGGGTTAACAAATTTTAAATTTCGTTTCTACTATTTTATAAAAACTTTTTGTTGGGATGTTGGAGTGTTGATATGTTGGAATGTTGATATGTTGTTGGAATGTTGATATGCTGAAGTGTTGATATGTTGGAGTGTTGAGATGTTGGAGTGTTGAGATGTTGGAGTGTTGATATGTGGGAGTGTTGAGATGTTGGAGTGTTGAGATGTTGGAGTGTTGAGATGTCGAAATGTTTAGATGTTGTAATTTTGTGAAGTTGGAATGGAATGTTTCACATTTTGCCGTTCGTGATATCCACACAAACAAACACCTCTCTACAACCACACATCACAATTTAAACTTAATAAAAAATTCTTCATTGATTATGACAACCGCAGTCACATTTGACCCATCCAATCAGGTGATTTGGTTCAAAAAGTCAACGACCTTGAACTCTCTTAACGAACCAATCGCAGCGAAAGAAGATAGCGTGTCAGCAAATCAGCATCAGTTTCATCTGCAGGACTTGGAGCAAGGCGAGTCGTACATTGTTCAGGTTGGTCTTGTGTTCTTAGTGAGAATTAATTAGTTACAATAAAGTTTAACTTTTCATAAATAATATTAATGGGTGTTTTAACAATTTTGGCTTCACGGGAGTAGTTACTATAGCAGCCACAGTGGAACCACGATAGCAGCTACAGTAGCAACCAAGGTAGTGGTCAGAGCAGCAGTAACGTTATGTAACGTTATGATGAAAATTTAAAAAAAAAATATTCTTATTGGCGAAATAATAAAATTATTCAAAATTAACAAGGAAACAGTTTTGATTAAATTTAATACAGATGATTTATTTGGGATAAATTTGGGTTAATAATAAAAATGGAATGATGAAAAACTTGTTTAAAAATTTTTGTATTTTATTTCATTCATTTGTGGTGCATTTCTTAAGCGGAAATTGGATGGTTTTCTTAGGAAATTGCAGAGAAACAGGCATGTGTACAGTACACACGTGAGCAAATATCGTCCTATAGATTATTCAATCGTTTCATTTTTCTCTCTCAAATTAGTTGTCTTTGTCTCAATTTTTTAACTCTACATCTTTCTACCCATCTCTCTATGCCTCTATCTTTTGTCAGTTGCATTGTTATCTTTTTTCTTTTCTGATCTCATTCTCTCTTTCTCTCTCTTTTTCACTTTCTCTTTCTATTTCTTTTTTAACGTTATTGGTTCTACATTTTTACCTAAATATGTGTTTACAACGTTGTTGTTATTGTGGTTATTATTGTTGTTGTTGCTGCTCTTGTTGTTGTTTCTGTTGTCGTAAATCAGTGTTTAGATGGCGCAAACGAATTATGAAAAGCAATGAATTCCCTTTTACCTCTCTTCCATATATTCTTTCTACTCGCCAGGTGCAGGCCGTCAGTCAGTTCGGCACGAAACAACTGAAAGGGAGCAAGTCCACCATCTCAATTACTGTTTACCCACTGCCGAATGAGTCTGAAACGCAAGGTCAGCTTTCAAATCGTCACTATAAAATTATTGTAAAATTATAATTATTGTTGTTGTTGTTTTTGTTGTTGTTGTTGCTGCTCCTGCTGTTGTCGTAAATAGTTTTCATTGTTCTTAACAGGTTCTAAAAAAATCGGCAACGACAGAAGAGTAACTCAGAAACAGAACCAGCGACAACAACAACAACCACTCAACAAACAGCAACCGCAACAACAGCAGCACGACAAACAGCAGCCGCAACAACAACACAACAAACAGCAACCTCAACAACAACACAACAAACAACAACCGCAACAACCACAACGGAACCAACATCATCAAAAACGTCGACAAGGAACGCATAAAGCAAAAATTCAGCAGCAGCAACAACAACAACAACATCGGCAATTACAGCAGCATACAGTCCATGGTTTGTTATCTAATTTAACCTTCAAACGAGCAGTCTTCAAAGGAACGGACTTGACTATTGAAGCACACTGGAATTATACAGCGCTACATCATCAACCTCATCATCCTTCAAAAAAAATTAAACACAAATCTAAACAAACAAATGATTCCCCACCTCTATCGCCATCCTCTTCCTCCTCTTCACCGTCATCCTCATTCAACGATGACGTCACGTTTTTAGTGACGTGGTCTCCGAAAGTTTGCATCGCCGATAAAAGAGAGATGTTTAAAAATTTTCTCTTGAGCTCACAATCCATAGCCGTTCAGGTTGGTTGGTTGGTTGGTTGGCTGGTTGGCTGGTCGGTTGGTTGGCTGGTCGGTCGGTTGGTTGGTTGGTTGGATGGTTGGTTGGTTGGTTGGTTGGATGAGTTGCTGTTTGATTGGATGGTTGTTCGATTGTTTATTTGTTTTGTTGGCTGGATACTTGGTTAAATTGACGATTGATTAAACGTTTGGCTAGCTTTCAAAATAATTTTTTGCTTCATTTTTAGAAAAACTCCATTTATAAATTGGTTAAAATACTCTTGTCGTGCTATTACGTTGCACAGTTCTTTGGATGCACGTACGATGTATTTAACATGAACTAAATTAAATTGCTAGAACAGAAAATACCTTCATTTAACAAAATCGCACGTTAAAACTTAATCTAACTAGGGGACAAGGGTAACATTGAAAGGCCTGAAGTTGGGGTGCCTCTATACTGTCCACGTTAAACTTAACAATTTGAAACAACAACATCATCATCAACAACAACAACAACAGTTCAGAATCATTAATAACAACAACAACAACGACAATGATGATGCCGCTTATAATGACGAATATACCCTATCACCATCATCATCGTACTCATCGTTATCTTCATCTTCATCACAATCGTCATCTTCATCTTCATCATCAGAGTTGCACCACAACTTCACGACATATCCATGTGGCCACCAAAAAAATGCAGCCGACGCCAAATGTGTCGACACAGGTGATGATGATGATGATGATGATATAAGTATGATGATGATGATAACGCTGATGATGATGATGATGATAATGATGATAATAATGAGGATGATAATTTGGATGATAAGTATTTGATTATTTTTTTATTGATTATTTAAGTATAATGATTTGATTATAGTTCTGATGGAGATGACAGCAATGATGAAAGTTTACCTAGAGTTCATAATTCACCCATTAACCATCAATCACATCATTATCACGTCATCATAATCACATCGTCATTCTGTCATCATCACATCATCATCGCCATCATCATCGTCACTGAGATCATCATCATTACCACGCAAACACAAACAGACGCACTCCTACCGAGAAGAGTTCAGAACCTCCGTCATTCAATCACTATAACCGCCTTCAACATGACCTGTGACGTCACGTGGAACCCTCCCTCCCCCAACATCATACCCCTCATAAACTACAGGGCTGCCTGGGTGCTGATCGACCCTACGCAGCTACCGATGAAGATTAACGAGTCGGATGACGATGATGACGTCATAGGAAGCGATGATGATTACGATGAATACGACGATGATGGCGATGCTAGTCGTTTTAAGAGTAGAAAAAAATCGAACAAAAAGAAGAAAAATAAGAATAGCAGTAATAAACACAATATCAAAGTTGATAGTGGTGATGTTGACGACGACGACGACGATGAACATGATGAAAATGATTACTTGTATGAGTCACTGTTCAAAGAGAACAGTCGAAGCAACGGTGCTGACAATGATTTATACTCGAACGGTTTTAAAACTCTCTCCAAGGTTTCTAATCACTTTTATCATCTCAACTTTATCATTTTGATCATCATTTCATCGTCACCGACATCATTCTCTTCAAGTTTGTCTGCCTCTCAGTTTTTTATGGTCCCTCGCCATCACCAAATAAAAATTTGGAAAATTTGACATGTTTATGTTATAAATAAATTGCTAGTGTCATCTCGATATCAGTGTGATTATCACCTCATCCTTAAAGCACTGTTATTGCTATCATCGTCGCCAACTAAATTAGAGTTTTAATCATATTTATCATCATAATCTCCCAAAAAATCATCATTGTTGTTATTATCAATATTATTGTTATTATTATTATTATTATTATTATTATTATTATTATTATTATTATTATTATGTTACTGTTACCAATTTTTATACAAGCTATCATCATGGCACTTATTTCAGGATAACGAGCGTTGATGACTATTTATATTATTTTATCATTTTAATTATATTTAACTAATTTTAACATTTTATTGACATATTTTATTTTGATTATCTTTGATTTTACTGGTTTTTTCTGAATAATAAAAGAGTTTACATTATTATTCTTATTATCGTTATCATCATCATCATCGTCATCTTCATCATCACCATAACAACAACAGAATGACCAGAGATTGTTAATAATGACCTTGTTAGAAAGTTCTACCTACTTGCTGAAGGTGCAAGCTGTCTCGTTGGAAGGGGAGGGCCGTCCGTCCTACCTACTCATCGCCACCCCGTCATTCGCTTCCGGTTATAATAATATTATTAATAATAACTAGAATAATGAAAATAATAATAATAATAATTTGGTGGGTGGGTGGTGCATGACCGTTCTTAGTTGGTGGAGCGATTTGTCTGATAGAACGTGTGACTAAATTTGGCGACGATGATTTGATGGTGATGACGATGATAACAATAATAGTATTAATAATAATAATATTAATAATAATACACTTAATCCCATGTAAAGTCATGTATGTACACGTGAACTGTACAAAGTGTACATCTCAGGAGTGTACACTGATGACGAGATGTAGATGTCGTCATTGTAGATGATAAAAAGTGATGAAGTTGTTAAAACTTGTGACTAAATTTGGCGACGATGTAGTGATGATGGTTGGGTTGTTTCCAGGCAGGGCATGTTGTTATGCTGTTCTGACAACTGCACACTTCCACACAAATTGATCCTTTGAGTTTCTGAGTTTAGTGCCGGAGAAGCATCCAGATCATTTTGCTGATCTCGATGGTGATAATGTTGATGGTGATGATGATAATGATGGCGGTGATGCTGATGGTGATGATGCTGATGATAATGATGATGGCGTTTTTGTTGTTGTTGTTGTTGATGATGATGGTAGTGATGAGGTTATGATGAAAGAGTATGAATTTGATCTGATAAAGATGTTTATGATGACGAGTATGACGATGACGATTTGGATGCGATGGCTATCTATAAGGAGATAAATGTAGTACTGATAATAAAAGTTGATGAAAGATTGATAATGAAAGTACACTCTACAGACAAACTATTTTGTCCACAATGAAAGAGAAAAAATATGTAAAGTTGAAACTAATTATGGTACCGATAATGTAACCTGTGACGACGAACCACAACGACGTAATGATAAAAATGATGAGGTCGGTGAGGAGGATGAAGATGAAGAAAAATGTGATTAATGATGGTGATAAAACTGAACTAATCTTCCATTCCCTCTTCTCATCAAAAACATCCGCTTGGCATTCGCGAAGAAGATGCTAATGTTGATGATGTTGATGGTGTTGATGATGTTGATTATGACTAAGACGGTGATGAAGATGGTGATGATGAAAATGGTGATGATGAAGATGATGATGATAATGATGATGGTGATTACACCTAGACGTTAATAATGATGATGACGGTGATAAAGATTGTGATGAAGATGATGACAATAATAAAGTTTAAAATGTTGAAAATAACGGTAATGATGTTACTGATAATGATAATGATGACGACGACGACAATGACGATGACTATAATGATGGTGATGATGACGACGATGATGATGATGATGATGATGATGACGGTGATAAAGATTGTGATGAAGATGATGACAATAATAAAGTTTACAATGTTGAAATGATGTTACTGATTATGATAATGATGACGACGACGACGACGACGATGATGACGATAATGATGGTGATGATGACTATGATGATAATGAGGATGATGATGATGATGGTGTAGTGGTGGTTACTGAAGTGATGATAATGAAAATGGCAATTATATAAAAAACAAATCATGGTTGTAGTGGCCAATGAAAATCGATTTTCTTTTCTGCCTATGAACCGATGTGGCGTTACTGCAAAAATATCAATTAAAATAAAAATTAGAATAATAATAATAACATTATAATAATAATAATTATTATTATTATTATTGATGTTGTTTTCATTTATGACGCAACATATAAAAAGATTGTATAAATTTTATTGAAAATTATATATTCATTTAATGAATATATTTGTTGTTTTTTAATTCCAGGTTCTTTAAACAACAACAACATAAACAACAACAACAACAACGTCATCGGCAGCCGGAAGTACAACCATAACAAACAAACCAAGCACGTCAGCATCATTCCAAATTCCGCCAACAAACTGAAATCATCATCATCATCGTCATCATCGTCATTTTCTTCTTCACTGTCACTTTCCAAGTCGTCGTCATCATCATCGTCGTTGTCGTCACCAACGATAAAGTCAACATTGTTGTATTTCTATTTTTCTTTCATTGTTATACCTCTTCTATACTTCTATGAACTGGAAAGAAATGTTAAATGATGATAATTAAACAATTTGTTTAATCAAATAGTCGTCTCATTGATTGAACTATTCTCACTTAGTCATATATGTAAATAGGTAATCACTTGCTAATGAACAAGCACGAAGACACACATTCACACGCACACTCACACACACACTCTCTCTCTCTCTCTCTCTCTCACACACACAACGCACGCACATGTGTTTTCATACTCGTCCGTTCAACAGTCCCGCTTCAATGTGTTGTTGTCATTATAATTGAAATGAGATTGACAGAAGAATGTTGATTAGTTTTTAGTAGATTAATGTTGTCAAAAAATAAAATTTGATTACTTTGTACTTAATTGCTTGTACTACAGTAATTTAATAGATATACTGTACTTATAAAAATGCGTAATCAATGATTCTTCTATATTTCAACGGTCATTCTGTATCTTAAATAAGGATTAATTCTGTACTAAAAAGATAATTTCTGCAGCTAGACGCTTGTATTGTGCATAAGCGAAAAAGAATTAACAAACGAGTGTACTATACTCGTGAAAATACTTCCAAAAATACCTCTCTGAATAACTTCACAGAACAATGTATAATTATTGAATTACAATCTATTAATAAAGTATTATAGGGATTTTTTAAAATTAATAATAATAAATTATATTGTTGAAATTATTATAATATTATTGGATAATTTAATACTATATACATTCGTCATGACTGCGATGATGAATGTAAAACGGTAACAGTGGTGACGATGGCGCAATAAATGTTGTATTAGTTGTTGTCGTTTATGGCCAAATTGTTGTTGTTATGATAATTATTATTGTAATTATTGTCGTTGTTGTTGTTTGCTGGTGATGGAGAAGAAAAAGATATTGGAAATGGTGATGAAAAATGTGACAATCATTTATATATATTTATATATGTGTGTCTAGATTTTGAATTGATGTCATTCGTGTGTAAATATGTAAAGCGCTATATACATTTTTTCAATTGGATATTTTTATTGTAACATTCTAGTTATTATTATTATTATTAATATTTTTATTATTTTTTTTTTTCGCCAACAATCGTGGACATGCATATTTGTACAGTAAAGAAAAAAAGAATTAAAAACAACATTTGTTTGTTTTCTTCTTGATTAATTAATTAATTAATTTATTTATTTATTAAATTTAAAAAAATGGTTTTGTTTAAATGAGAAAAAATTTTCAAATGGAAAAGATTCTTTAAATATATCTTAAGACGATTTGTTTTGCAAAAAAAATGTAAAATTAAACATTGAGGAAACTTGGAATGGAATTCGAAAGCATTTCATGTAATGAAAAAACATAAAAACGAAATAAACAAAACGAAATAAAAACATTTGTAAACACACACATAAACACACAAACCACACAAACATATACACCACATACTAAAGATAAAAATAAAACAAATGAAGCAAACTGATTATGCATGTATGCATGCATGTATGTTTGCATGTATGTATGTATGTATGTATGTATGTATGTATGTATGTATGTATGTATGTATGTTTGTATGTATGTATGTATGTATGTATGTATGTATGTATGTGTGTGTGTGTGTATGTGTACAGCAAAACACCTACCCAATGGATGTTTCTATGTATCAATCAATCACCCACGTCGTGTTATCAGTAAGAGAAACAATGATCTCATTGATAGCATGTCTATTTTAATAATTGCTCTATTTTTCGTCTAACACAAACAATTGTATTACCACTTTTGTTTTGTTTGGTTACTCTTTAAAATATTTGCAGGTAGGACTTGTTGTAGAAGTTTTGGAAACTTTCTAGCGATATGATTCATGGATTTTAGTTTCACACGATTAACTTTTTTTTCAATTTTGGTTGGTCGTTAAAAATTTTTTAGTACGCACAAATTTATTCTTTTTATTTTTATCAAAAAAAAAAGAAATAATATGTCAATAACGTAAAAGGCCTGAGGCAATTTCAATGCTCTCCTAACCAAGCAAATCTTATGAAGTGAGTGTTTAGGCGTGTGTGCGTGTGTGTTCGAGCCATTGTGGAAATATGCATGTGTGTCTGTGTGTTTGTGCGTGTACGTGTGTGATTTTTGTATGAGTGAGTGTGTGTATGTCTATCTAACTAAACACGATCATACACCTACAACATCAACAACAACAACGACAACATCCTTAATTATAATTTAATACGACAACATATTAAGCCTTAAGTGATCTGAAACATATATTATTGAGAATTGTTTTATTTGGATGTATGTATGTAAAATATATTTTATATAAATATATATTTATATATGCATGTGTGCGTGCGTGTGTGTGTGTGAGTGTGTATGTGTGCGTGTGTAAATGTGTAATAATATTGATCCCTAAATAAATAACATTCGTTGGCAGAAGTAATTATTAGCGTGGTTCTGAAGGAAGACATTCAGATGATAGCAGTGATGGAAAAAGATGATGACGATGATTCAGATGATGACGATGATGACTGAAGATGATAATGATGAGGATAAAGATGATGATGTTGATGGTAGGTGTTCGAGGTATGTAGAGGTAATGATAGGAGTTCGAGACCGTGGTGTCATTTTCCGAAATGCTAAGCTTTAAAGTAAATGCTGGCAACTATAGAAACTGTAATCCATGCACCATACCTCAATTCACTTAAATTCAAACTCCTATGAAACACCTCATAGAGTTAATTCTTAGCGACAGGTTTGCAAGAAATTTGAAAAGTTTGAAAATTTAGTGATTTTTCAAATTATTTCAACCTTTCTCTTGAATAATTCAATGCATTGGCGCTTATGATGATGGAGCTGATTGATAATGTCATGATGGTGATAACAATGATGAATATTTAGGACGATGATGATAAAAATGAGGATGTTTTGATGATGATATGTCAAAATTTTAATGAAAGTTAATCAGACCTTAATACCTGCTTGCACGATTAACACAAAAGTAATATTGATATTAATACTACGTTGATTCGTACATGTGCCTGCTACTTCATGCTGCTGGTTTAGGCATCGCAAGTCCTGTTTTTTGTAGCAGTTTGCCAAGAAATTGTGATTTTTGAAATCAAATCTCACTGGGTTTTTCTAAAAACTCAAAGTAGGTTTTCTCAATAGTCGTTTTTTTAAATCACTGACGAATAACATGTAAACGAGTGGGCACGTACATACGCACATACACACACGCGCACACACGCATGCACACATACATACCTTACGTACAGTACATATGTGTGAATCATACATGCTTAAAAGTTTAAAAGCCCATTCATAAATTCATTTACGCATGCACGTAAATACAATTTCCATATCCATCCAATCCATCCGGCATGTATCAATACATGCACAGTATGCATACAGCTAAGTAAACACGAATGTGCTGTGCATACAATATACACATGCAATCCAATATATTGTACATGTATATACAAATATGTACACATGCACACACACATACCTACATACATATATATTTACAGTTTACATACATATATGTGTAATTCGTATTATTTATAATATACTTATAAGAGGCATCTATACACGAGTATGTATATTGGGACATACACACACATATATACATATACACATCTATATTTACATACACACACACACACACGCATATATACATACGCACACATATACATATATATAAGGAATATTATAGCAGAGGAATCTACATATCTGAGTCAGATGTTGTATTTCAAGCTCGAGCGAGGCAAGGAAGATGTTATTGAATTAGTGCCCATCACTACGTCTGCTAATGTTAGTCATCATTCCTATCCAGAACACTGTCGTCAATTGTTAGGACAGTTTTACCGTTTTTGTTTTTGTTGTTGTTGGAATCGGAAAAATAAAAAAATTTTCTAAATAAGTGTAGGGGTTTTTTTTGTGAAGATTGAGTGTTTGGATTTATTTGTGGATAGATATCTTCGGATGTGGATAGAGATATCTATTATATACATATATATATATATATATATATATATATATATATATATATATATAGTATAGATAGTTCATGTATCATTTTATATTTATAGCTTATAAAGCTTAGTAGGCTATACAATGGTTGATATTTTTAACATTATTAATTTATCTTGTTGTTTTTTTATTCGAAATTTTGTTGAAAATTTGATCAAAAGATTGAAAATTGAAATGTTGATGATGATGGCAAAGTAAGATTTTCAATATATTAATATAGAAAACCTTAAAAAATGTTTTTTATATTTAAATTACTTCATTAATTTTTGCGAATTAAAATCATTCAACTATCCAATTAAATGGTTGGCGGGTAAATACTCTGTGATCGATACACACTCACTCTCACATGCATACACACACGCACACACACAAACAAACGCACACACATACAAACACGCACACGCACATACAAACACGTACACACACATACACACACGTGCACACGTTCAGTCACCTGTATTAATTGATATCTTCATGTACGTTTACAATGCGGTCAGGTGAGACTTACAATCAATGCAAGAGCTTTTCCTGTCACTGCTACTCATGTTGATGGTGGTGATGAGGATGAAGATGATGAAGAGGATAACGATGATGAGGACGAAGAGGAATATGTGTTTATGATGATGATGATAATGATGTGTTCGGTGATAATGATGAAAGACCACCCTACACACTCACACATATACTTAAACAAATGAACAAAAGCAGTTACACAAACATAAGTACACACACACACACACAACATAAACACATACATTCAATACGCACAAACATACACGTAGATACACATACACACGCGCACGTGCACATAGAGTCCGTGTAAAATTCTAAGAATAAAACTATAGATGAGATAAAGAAAGGTTCGTAAACTTAAAATAAAAATGTTGGATCAAACAAAAAAGCGACGCCGTTGTGAGAATTAAATTAATTGCAAAGTAGAAATTTTTTCTACTCATCCAAGTATTTTGCTATTTATTTTCCCTCTAACTTCAACAATAATTGTTAGGATCAGTTTCGTTCAAAAATAACACAGACTACACCAACTCACACAGACAGACGAGACAGACACACAACAAACACACAGGCACAAACAAACAAACACAGACAGACACAAGCAGACAAGCACAGACATGGTTATTTTCTTTACATTGCAGTGTTTATGTAAGTCCGTGCCTGATTCAATGATATCGAAGTTTCTCCAGACAAATTTATTCAATATTTCAGTATCGTCAACACAGCAGATCCGTCATCATCTTGTATCACATCATCACGTTCTCACGTGGTCACATAATCACATGAACACATAGAAAAAAGTTATCATATTATCAGGTACTCAAACCTCCATATCAATACACTATCATGATATCATATCATCTTTTTATATCATATCTTTCTGTAATCAGAGTTTGTCGCTTTATTACGTATCATCCTGATATTACATTATCACAATTTCGTCTAATTACATCACATTATATTATCACATCACATCGCCCTATCATCATATCGTTATCTCATTAATTGTTAATGACATTTTAATGTTATTTGCTGAACATTTTTCTTAAAACATGTATCATCATATTATCTCGTCATTATATCATTCATTCCATTAACTAATTTATTTATTTATTTATTCATTCATTTATTCATTCGTTCGTTCGTACGTTCGTTCGTTCTTTTGTTCGTTCGTTCGTTAGTTCATTCGTTCATTCGTTCCTCTCTCGTCGTGGTTAAAAGCGTGACTGGCTTACGTGCCTTTAATTGGATTATAATTGCGTACAAACACGCGCGCAAGTTAGGTCAAGAATGATGTATGTATGTATGCGTGAGTATGTGCGTGAGTATGTTTGAAAAATTTGTATGTTTGAGGAATTTGTATGTTTGAGGAGTTTGTATATATGTGTTTTAATGTGTATGTTTGTGCGTTTAAATACATGCGTATATGTGTGTATGTAATTTCATGCGCATGGTTTTATGTATGTGGGTGTGTGTGTGTGATGTGTACATGTGCGTGTATGTGTGTGTTCGTATGTTTGTGTGTGTGTGTGTGTTTGTGTGTGTGTGAGTAATTTCATGGGTGTGGTTTTTTATGTATGCATGTCTGTCTGTGTATGTATGTGTGTGCGTGTTTGTGTGCGTGTATGTGTGCGTGTATGGTTATATGCAAGTTGTTTTCTGGATCAATATCGATTTCTAAGTAACTGCCAATAAACCCTTGTCGCGATTGGATGATGGACTGTAAGGAAGATAATTGTTTGTTGTGATGATATCATGATAATGATATATTGTGGTGATATAAGGATAATGATAAACGGTGATATAATAATAATGATGATATTACCTCAACGACGATGACGACGACGATGAAGAAAATGATGATAACAATCTCAAAAAAACTATATCGGTAAAAATTGAGGAAAGATTATTTTTATGGCAGTTCGTAATGGGTTTTTGTTGCATTGTTTAGCGTATCAACGTGTTGCACGAAAAGATCTCTATAGATACATAACCTTATTACATGGCATCTGTGAAATAGTAAAATGATAAGCGTTTTTGGCAGTGTAATGGTTAAGATGCCCAACACAGCTGTTGAAGTGTCTGGGTTTGAATACAAAGAGATTTCTGCCTACAATATGCAATGCGTGTAATGCGTTAATTTGCGTGTACTTGTATGCTATTTACATAATGCGGTTATTGATACTTCTAAGAAGGGATGAAAACCACTTTTTAAAATTTTCTAATAAATTATTTTCGTATATTCTTTATAAATGTTTGTGGCTTGGAATCATACAATTATTTCATACATTGCATTGTGAATTTATATAACAGTGCATTTGCTTTCATGTTGAATTTAATTGGAAAAAAACATGTATTTAAATAGAAACAAACAAATATATCGTGTATATGTTTGTTTGTGTATGTGTTTGTGTACGTATATGAATATGTGTTTGTGTACGAATATGTGTTTGTGTACGTGTATGTGTTTGTTTACGTGTATTAGTATGTGTTTGTGTATGTATTTATGTGGTTTACTATTATTTGCGGGGAATAAAGTGTAAGGATATTTGAGCAACCGTACCTTTCCATAATTAAATTTACAATTGGTTTGAGAGTGCTTCATAGGAGAATGGTAGATATATGCATGTTCGTACATACGGGCGTACATGCATACATACATACATACATACATACATACATACATACATACATACATACATACATACATACATACATACATACATACATACATACATACATACATACATACATACATACATACATACATACATACATACATACATACATACATACATACATACATACATACATACATACATACATACATACATACATACATACATACATACATACATACATACATACATACATACATACATACATACATACATACATACATACATACATACATATGCATACATATATGTATAATACTAAAGTAGCCATCAGAAGCAGTACAAGTTCGTAAATGTATTACCTTCGTGTTTGCGAATAAAACATGTACGTGCTAGGTTTTTATTCGTCGGATTGCACAATTGTGTTTTTTTATGATGCTTCGTATGTTTGTGTATGTGTGTGTTTGCATGTATGTTTGTGTATGTATTATAATATTCGTACGGTTTGCAATAAAAATAATCATAGGTACCGACAACAGACACACAATCTTTTTAAAAGCATGTGAATCAACGTTGCATTCAATTAATATATTTACTATATAATTTTCTGCTTTCATTGATCACGGGAACTTCAAACATAAAATTTTTTAATGTGGAAAAAAATGGAGGCACGAATAAAAAAACGTACTTTTTTTTATCTCTTTCAACAGGTTTATTAATAAAAAAAAAAATCATGATATGTTAATTTTTTATTGTATAATAACATTAAACAACTCACTACACATGCAGCACATGAAAAAGAAGACACACAAACATTTCCAACTTTAAACAACTCACTACAATTAAACACCTCCTCGTCAACAGACATGCTTGCATTCGGTGGGAAGTTTTCGGCTGCATCTAAATACGCTTGTCTGATTATTTGTACGTGTTACGCGAGATAATTGGAAAAATAATAAAATGGAAAAACTATTTTTGGACATAATACTAGAGAAAGAAAATTCTATGGAAAAAATAATTGAGACAAACTACAAAGAACAATTTCAAAGATTGGTGGTGTATGCAATATTTTTTTGTTGAAGATGATGACTTGAAGATAAAACATACTACGATAAGATATAGTGATGAGTCACATTGAATGTGGAAGCAACATTAGGATAAAAGTGAAATAGAGAGAAAAAAATGAAACAGAGAAGGAAAGAGAGAGAGAGAGAGAGAGAGAGAGAGAGAGAGAGAGAGAGAGAGAAATGACAATAAGTAAAGATGTAAACGAAAATGTAAAAATAAAAGCTTATGAAGTAAAGAAAGTGAAAGAGACAAAAGTAAAAGAGGTAAAAATTAATTAGGAATTTAAAACTACAAACAGAAAAAGCAAATCACTATGAAAGAGATAGAAAAATGGAAAAAAATAATTAAATTAAGCAAAAAATTTAAAACCTGAGGTGACCTAAACTTGATGAAGGCGGTTCAATAAATTTTTTACTGTTTGTTAAAAATTTAACAAAAAGTAACCTGATTATAACCTTTTTTTATTAGTAATTCTATTAATTATAACAATGTAAAAAATAATAATAACATAAATAAAGATAATAATAATATTATTATGAAACAAATGTGAGTTATTTTTAGCTGAGCTGAAAGGCTTAAATATTTAATAATCTTTCTTTGCGTTTTTTAACGTCATCGTCGTCACCATCATATTATCGTCATTATACCATTACCATCATCATATATCATCATCATTATTATTACCGTACCATCTTCATATCATCATTGTCATATTACCATAATCATCAGTCAACATATTATTATCATCATATCACTATCATTATTATGTTATCATAATCATTGTCATCCTCTTCCTTTTCTTCCTCCTCACCATCACCATGAATGAATATTTTTTCCAATCTTTATCATCTTCAGCATCTGGTGCTTCATCAGCATCGTCGTCATCATCGTCGTCGTCGTCTTCGTCATCATTTGATTAACGCGTATCTATTTCAAAGATATCCATAACGAACCACAAACAAACAGCATGTTTGTCGTCACCATCATCGTTATCATTGTCATCTCCACCACCGTCATCATCATCGTCTTTATCACTTCGTCATTTTCTCATCATCATGTTAAATAATATTTTTGTCATAATCGCTGTCCAATTTTCAGATATTAACAATTAATCTACTCGACTAACAGCTATTACATCACAAAAAGGAACATAATATTATTATTTACAGGGCTGTAGAAAAGTAATTTAATAATAAAAACAACAATAATTGTATATTAACGATCGTCAACATCATTATCACCACCGCAAATCATCATCAAAGGCACATTAATCCCTATGTTATTATCACGACTCATGAATGTAAACAAACCATTTATCTGGGAATCAAACCTTGGCTGATTTTGTGTACATGCACTTCATTCGTTCGTTCATTTGTTTCTGCATTCATTCATTAATTTATTCCAACATCTATCCATTCATTCGTTCATTCATTCATCTATTCATCCGTTCATTCATTCAGTGTGCATGTCCAACAAGCAAAATTCACATTGAACGGATAAGCAAACATTTCCTGACCGGTCACTCACACTGCATCAGTTTGCTTTATATGTGAAAAGTTTTAGAAACAAAAAATTGTTGACAACAAAATTTTGCAACAAAATTCAGCACAGCAACAAAACGAATTAACGTTACAAGTTCGTCAAAAAATTTTCAAAAAAAAATAATGTCAAAAATTTAACGACACTCGTGCTGATGATAAAATCACAGAACATAAAGTTGAAAATGTTCTCGGCCAATGCAAAACAAACCATCCCCATCTTTCTACTTTTTCCGAACAGAAAAATTTCATTTTTAATAAGCTTTGCAGTTTTTTGCTGGTCAAGTTTGCCGTCAACAAAATAATCAACGATGGCAACAAAACCATCAACAACAACATCAGCAACATCATTAACAATATCAACAACAACATCAACAACAACATCAACAAAGTCAAAAAATTTAAACAGACTAATTTTTTACTACATAAGGCTTACATCTCAGATGATATCTTGAATCATTAATAGAGCAACTTTAGTTGCAACAACATTTTCAAAACCAGAAGCAGCAAAAGTAATGAAAACATCAAAACCAAGAGATCAAACAGACACGCGGCTTCCGTTAACGACGTCCCATACATCAAAAACGCCAACATTAATAAAAATAACATCAACGTCAATGTCATCAACAGAAACAACATCAAAAGAAGGCACATTATCTCGAATACTTCTCACGACAATGATCTTTTTCACTCTCGTTAATATTCAAAACAACAACAACAAAAAACCAAATCAGCACCACAGAAAATTAACAACCTTAAAAAAGTCAATAAAAGCCGTGGTCGCCATGGTAACGTTCTGCGCTACATTGTCAACTGCACAGCTGTCGTTAGCCGGAAAATCGAAACTATTTCTTTCCGGAATTTCCCAGAGGGATAGTGTGTTCTTACGTAACTTATTTCCGGTAGCTAATTATAGACGAGCGGAAAGGGCGTCTGACGTGGAAAGTTATGGAAGTCATCACGAACGACGAAATATAAATTCCAAGTTATTTGATTCGAGGTTGACAACTTTGTCTTCATCATTGTTGTCGATGTCGCTATCTTTATCCTCGTCGTCAACATCATCTTCATCGTCAACATCACCGCCATCGTCGTTATCATCGTCATCGTCGTCGTCATTTTCTTCATCATTATCACTGCCCACTTCTCTGTATCCATCATTAATTTCAACGACCAGGCACAAAACTGAAATCCCGTTTGCTACAACATCGTCAACCACACATACGTCATCATCGACAGAAACGCCGCCGTCAATGTCGTCATCGTTTTCGTCGTCATCATCGTCGTCGTCGTCTTTCTCACCACCACTGCAGCTTCAAATTCGACCACTTCAGCAGCTACCTCCATCATCGACTGCAGCACATCCTTCAAACAACCAAGATGAGAACCGCCATCTTGTCGTCATCGTCGTTCTCAGCATCCTCGTCATCTCCGCCATTTTTTTTACCATCTTCCGGTTGATGGTGAAAGCAGAAGCACACACGGTGAAGTCGACGGACAGCTGTCGCAGCAACCGCGAAAGCCTCATCTTCAGTGACAGGGACAATGCGTTCTCCATGGACGAGTTCTCGTGAAGCGGCAAAATTAATAAAAATAAATAAATTAAAAATCATAAAAATAAACAAAACGAATAAAGATAAATTCAATGTAATGATTATCTTTTAACTTGCGTAGGTACCACGCGTCACGACAATACATAATTGCTGGCAGTGATATATTTCAGACGATAATATAACCGTCAAATTATTTGATTTTCGCGGTATTCCCGACGGCTAAGCAAGCCAAAGTACGTAATGCACGCGAGAGTGCGTGCAAATGAATGTAATGCGCAGCCAAATGAACAAATTGCTAGGCCAATTTGAGATTAGAAATCATTTGCCCGATAATTACTACAAGGCAGCTTGGCTGGCATTTCAACAACCAAGCTGTCCTGCGTGCAAGATTATTTTTATACTATGTCTGTGGATGAAAAATTTCAGCAGGTACATTAACGCGCGTGTACCAGATGGTACTGATATGTACTTAATATTAATGTGTGTATGTGTACAATGTGTGCAATGTCAAACATGTTTGCAATTGTATGCATTCGCGTGTTTGTATATTAATACAGTTTTAGTGGAGTAATAAAAACATTACAGCTACACAAGTTTTTTTTTTCATATTACAGAATACATATTCGTTAAACTGTTGAGAAGTGTTTGATGCGTTTTTACATTGAAAGTAGTATGGGTGGAAAATTTTTATTAAAACACAAGTTTTAAATTATGCCATTTCATATTCTTTTAAAATTTTTATATCATCGCCATTATATTTCTGCACGTGGAACGTGGAATTTTTAAAAAAACTTTCATTATGAGATACATGTTATACATGTTTCACATACATGCATACATACATACTTGTACAAATTTCACACACACACACACACACACACACACACACACACACACACACACACACAGATATGTATGGAGAGCAATGTAGGTTGGAATAAAAATTAGCATCATTTTGCTTGCTGCCTGCGTCCAAGGAGCCGAACACGCATTTAATTACAATCTGCGCCTGTCTACACTTAATTGTATTGTACACAGTACCAACGAATACCTAATAGATAATACCACTTTTGAATACCCTCTGCCTCAACACCATTTCAAATCACCACTTGATTCTGTTTAACAACTTACAAACTTTTTTATTTATGATATCTTGAAAAAATTCTACATAACTCATTTCAAAAGTTTTTTTTTATTATCTGCCAATGTGTTTCATCAGCTTTTTTTTTTATAAAAGTATCTAAAACAAATGATTGCAAGTTTGAGGAAGGAAATAAAAATTAAACTACAGAGACATTTAAACTGAGGTAGCAGAAAGAGTTTCCTGGCTGTGGGTGCAAAAAAAATGGGCTGATTTGATGCGGTCCACATTCATCCAGGGGAATTACGAGAGTGAAAACACCACGTATTTGCGTTCCGTACGCAAGAATCACATGATTACTACAGTGGTTTCAAAAGTACTCGAGAAATAATATACTGCAGAGAAATTGTGTGTACGTATTTTTGTATCTATTTTTGTATGTGTACAGTATGTAAAATATATTTATATACGTATGCTTGTCTGTCTGTATGTATGTCAGAATGTCTGTAAATCTAACGTAGAAACGGTAGAAGATTGGTGGATAAAATGACGCTAACTCTATGTTTCCATGCTAGTGTGTATGTATGTGTGCGTATGTATGTATGCATGTATGTTTGAATATCTGTATGTATGCCTGTGTATGTTTGTATGCGTGCATGTATGTATGTATGTATGTTTTTGTATGCATAATTGAATGAGCATAGAACGTTTGATCGATTTACACCTGAATGAACATAAATATTAGTATTTTATATTTGTAAACAACTTTTTTTCACATATACTTTTTGTGTATCTGGACACACGTGTTTGTATATTTTTATTACATTTTTTAGTGTGTTTACATGAATGATACTCATGTTTGCAATATTGACTTATTTTCTCTAGGTATATATGTCACATTTCGTGTATTTCTGTTTGTATATTGATCATATTTCTTCATATAATATCCGCAATAAGGTTCAACACAAATATACATAAGTAATAATTTCTATAGTTTATTTTTATCAATTTTAAACATTTATTTTGAATAATAATAACATAGTATACATTTACACAAATTTGTTCATTGACTATTTTATTATGACTAAGATACCAGCAACGAAGATGACGATTCATGGTTTCTTTAAACATACTACAAATTCTTCTACGTCTGAATCTTATTTACTTTCTGCTAAATTCATCAGATGTTTTACTTTATGCTTTATTTATTATCATATTTATTTTTCAATTTTTCAAAATTTTCAACTAATTTTGAAAATGTTTTTGAATAAATTAGAAATTTCTCGGATTAGTTTAATCGAAAAAAATTTTAATTAGACTGCGTGTGTTTGACTTTTGGGGTTTCTAAAATAATTTAAAAAATTTTTAGTTTGTGAAACTTAAGCATTTCTATTCATGTTGAACGATTTTCTAAATTTATAAGAAAAATAACAGTGAATATTGATGATATTGAACATATAAACATTATGATCTAGTTGGTTTTTTTAATTTTAGGAAATAACTTTATGAGAATACGTAATATTAAAACTTTATTCGCAGAATCTTTCTTACTTTCTTTCTTTTTATTTCTTTTTATTTATCATTTTTACTGTTGTTCTTTATTATACTGTCATCATCTTCATCATCGCCATCATCATTTACATCATCGTCATTATCACCAATTCCATCATCATTTTCTTCATTTTCTATAGCAATTTCTATTTTCTATTCTAAATTTTCACTATCTCAAAACCCTCTTGAACCGTCATCCTCACCATCAGCATCCTTCTCATCATCAGCATCTTCTTTATCATTATCCTCTTCCGTTTCAATCATCTTTTCTTTAATATAATAATCATCATCGTCGTCCTCTTCAGCAGTTTAATTATCCTCTACTTTATCATCACCATCGGTTTCATCATCATCATCTTCTTCATCATCACCGCCGCCCTGTCCATTAGCATCTTAGCGAGTTTTATTTATATTGGAGCATGGAGAAATGATGTAAACCGGTTATATTAAATTCTTCGTTTCCACGTTTTGAATAGTAGATGTGTATATGTGTGTGCGCGTGTGTGTGTAACTCTTCGCTACGTTGTTAAAATGCATTAATGCATAGTTTTATACATTTATATACATAAATGCGTGCATGCATTTTATACATGCATGCAAATACATATTCACGTACAAAAATGCATGTGTTAATTCCTTCTTATAAAATTAAAACGCTCATAGAAACAAATGAGTAAATACATGAATGCTAATTAACATGCATGTATATCATACAAATATGCATGAATGCATAGACGCATCCATGCCGTTATTTTTCAAATGTGTATATTAATAAATAAATTTTTTGCTTTAGTTTCATCATTTTCTAAATTTTTTAATAAATATTTTTGTTGTATTGTTGTAAATCCTTGGCTTTCATAGGATTTCTATATTTCCAACACCAGTGTCGTGGCTTCCAACGACTGTCAAGTGTTCGTTATTCCGTAGGTTCAAGATTTCCGATAGATGAGCACAAACAAGCGCTTCAAACTCAAACTTTGCTAGACGTTTCTCTAAATGCCAACAGAAAATAGAAACAATAAACTAATCCAAGTGACTACGTAAATCACATTTGCAACTTCGATTCTTCTGCTGGGAACCTGACTTTTAAACCTGACTACGTAGGACGTATTTCTAGTCGATTTGAAATCCAAAGACTACAAATATTGTAAAGATAACAATAGTCAATTAATAAATAACAGCGCAATTCGATTATTCTCGCATCATCATCGTCATCATCATATCATCATCATCATTGCCATATCATTGTCGTCATCATCACATCATCGTCATCATCGTCGTCATCGTCGTCATCATATCATAGTCATATCATCGTATCACGTCATCAGTGTTTTTGTTCATTACTAACGCAGCTTATTTACTGCGTGTATTGTGGATAAATTAAAAAATAAATAAATAAACTTTCATGTCTACTAAAACGCTGACTAACCTAGTATAAGAAAGTTAAAAATTTAAGGAATTAAACCCATCTTAGTGCCAAAATTTCGTAAGAAAGAAAGAAAGAAAGAAAGAAAGAAAGCGAACCACATTGAGTATGAAAATAAAAACTGGTTTCTCATTTACTTTTTTTCATTTAAAAAAAAGTAAAAAATGTTCTTTATTTAAATTTTCAATTTTCTGATCACGTTCGTTGAAACTCTTGAGAAATATACCAAAAGTATCATTTTCTAAGCCACATTCAAATGTTCGTATATTTATTTTTTTTCTGAAAAACTTCAACACGAACTTTTTTAATTTTTCATATTATTAAATCAAATAAAATAATTGAAAAAAAATCCATGTTAAACTGGAATTTAAGAAAATTTATATAAATTCTTTTAAAACTTGAAAATGAATATTTGTAAAACTATCAACAACAAAAACGATCAGACATTAAAAAAAACTTGAAAATAACTAAATAAAGTCAACAAACTATGTACTCAAAACAAATTTTAATATAGTTTGTAAATAGATTGTAAATATTTAAAGAATGAAACAATTTGTAAATACGCGCTAATATTTAAGATAACGGCATAGGCAACACATAATAAGCAATCAACTGATTGAATGATTGGTTAGTTGAATGATCGATTGATTGAATGATTGGTTAGTTAAACGATCGATTGATTGAATGATTGGTTAGTTAAACGATCGATTGATTGAATGATTGAATGAATGATTGATTAATTAATTGATTGATTGATTAAATGATTGAATGAATAAATGATCTATTGATTGATTGAATGATTGGTTGATTGATTGACTGGTTGGTTGGTGGTTTGATTTGTTGTCTAGCTGGTCGGTTGGTGGTTTGTTGATTGATTGATAGATTGGTTAGTTGAATGATTATTCGTATGACTGTATTATTTGACTGGCTGATTGAATGATTAACGGTTAATCCGTTGATCAATCAATTAATTAAACAATTATTTCATCAATTAAATGCTGATTAATTAAATGATTGAGCAGGGTGCATTGAATTGTGAAATTATAGTATAGAAGATAATTAACTGTAATGTGAAAAATGTAATCTAGAAAAAGACAAAATCAGACCTCTGATACATTATAAATATCATTCATGTATTTAAGAATCTAGTTGCAATAATTGTCATTATATTTTATACTGCAATAAAATTCTTTCCGTTAATAATACAATCAATGGCTATCATATAAAACAGTCGTTAAGTTCCTCACTCTACTATGAAGCGTGAACTCTGGAGAGCCCTGAAGCAAGCATATGATAAAATTAAACATGACGAAGGTATGGATGAATGGATTGATGAATGGGTTGATGAATTGATAAGTGAATGAATGAAAGAAGGAATGAGTGAATGAATGAATGGATGGAGAGATGAATGAAAAAATAGATGAATGAATGAAAAAATATATATAAGAATAGGTGAAGGAATAAATGGATGAATGAATGGCTAGATAATTGGATTGGAAAAAAGAATTGGATTCGATAGATGAGTTGATCGATAGATGAGTGAATGAATGAATTTATAGATGGATAGATGTATGGTTAGATGAATAGAAAAAAAGATGAATTGATAAATAAATTAATGAATGAATAGTTTCTAATAAATGAATTGGTGGGTGAGTTTATGATAGAGAAACGGATATAATAGCTAATTAGCCAAACGAATGGTCTCATAGATAATCATGTCACGTTATAATTTCTGCTCTAACAATGACAACTGCCATTGAATATTTTCACAGAAGTCCTTGATTTTTTCCAGTTGCCAATAAGTTTTCCAACTGAAATTTTCATTATTTTTGCTCTTCTTCGACAAACTTCAGCTTTTCATTTGTTCGCCTTCAAATCGACCTGCTATCTATTTTTTTAAACGCTCCAATAACTTTTTTGTGTGGATGGTATTAAAATCATTTCTTAAAAAGTCTGCTATTATTTATATATTGTTTGATGTGTAGTTGATTTTTATAGATATTTAGTGATTAATTTAATTGATGAAGAAGTGAGACGAGGGAGTTTTCGTCTGAATAGTCTATCGTAATAAAGTAAGTGTTAAGTGGTGAGAAGCTGAATGAGTGATGATTAAAAAATGAAAAAAGACAAAATTTCAAGTACTTTTCAATTCAACGATTTGTTTTTACAAATTTTTTTAAATTTTTGAACATTCATCTCACGTCAGTCTGGCCTAGCCAACCGGTTATAAATTTCCAAGAAGTCTCTTCATTTTCCTTGTACAAAATACCAAATTAATGACAAAAATGAAGTGCAGGGCATTAATTCAAACAATTTGAAAACATTCAGCTAGAAAGAACTTCATTCATTTGATTTGAAAAATAATTTTTTTTTTCTGCCATCTAGCGATTACTATAAACCACGCTGACGGTGACGATGACCGCCATGCAAGTGAACGCCGATATCGCAAGGGCCAGCCACCGATATTTAAACTGCCTGGTTACCACGTTGCCCAAAAAAATCGCCCCTTGCTGCTGCTGCTGTTGCTGCTGCTGTAGTAGCTGCTCTTTTTCTTGCTGCTGATCTACTGTTGAGGTTTGCGGTTGTTGTTTAGGCAACAATGTTAGATTCTCTTTGTCCTGTTGATCGGAGATGTTGTTCATCTGCTGTTGTTGTTGTGTTAGGTATAATCTGGAAAAAATACATCATTATCGTGATTTGGTTTAGGAAATTAATTCCAATACATAAAAGTGCCTTTTTGGTACGTTTTTTAAACATTATATACTCTGCCCTAGTGAAAACGTGCTTGCTTGTCATCGCATTATACATCAAAGTTTTTTTTTATTTCTACAACCATGTTATGTAACTCGTTGAAGTTCATTGATGAAAATTGACATTAAAACAAGTTAGACACGGTTTAGAATTTTTAAGCGACTGAGCGACTGAGCTTATTCATAATTAACTAATTAACTCTTCCATTATCATCTTGTCATCATCTTTTACTCATTATGTGCTTAATTTTCTTTACAACTGTTACTTTGTGGGATATATTCTACGGGTATTTTCATCATCATCCATCATCACTTTCATCAAATACATTTATTTTCTGTTTACCAGTCAACATCATCAGAAAAAGACAAACATACCGGATAGTATACAAATATAATTGTTGTTGTTGTTGTTGATGTTGCTGTTGTTGTCTTGTCTGTTGTTGATGTTGATACTCTGGATAGTACAGAGACATTGGATTGATGACCGTTTCAACGCTTACTACTTCATGAGCTTTTTTGATAGAAATTAAACGTACCACACTTTAATATGTTCAAATTATATGAACTATCTTATATGAAAAATGGGTTTTAACATTTTATCGGTAGAATAGTGAAAGCAAATTAACTAAGAAATTAATTTCAGTCATTCGGCTGATCAGTAAGAAACATCATCAACATCAATAACTATAATTAATCTATGAAGAAACTCACCGTAAACTCTGAGGAAATCTGCAATTCTCTTCATAAGAACATCGATCGTTTCAAAACTCCCGCCAAAACATTTGCAGCTCTTGCTTACGCCATCAACAGTGTCTCCATCACCTTGATTGACCTGGCAATCTCCAATGCAGATGATGACGTCAGAGTGATGTACCATTTCCGGAATGAAAGATTCGTACGTCACGGAATCGAACGGATATTGAACTTTTATCGTTCGAATTTTGCCGATTTGACCGTCGGCGATGCTGGTTTTCGCGGCCTTTTTTGATTTTTTGTTACTGGCATTTTGCGATTTTGAGGACTTTTTTGACTGTTTTTCAGTGAAATAGTAGAGTCTTAAGATGCGGAATATCTCAACAGAACGACTTCTGAAATCGTTGTCGTCCATGTTGATGCTATTGATGAAAGCGTTGTTGTTGTTGTTCGAAACATGATTTAACGTGTAAGTCACGTGGTTGCTGTTGCTTTGCTGTTGTGGTTGTTGTTGATTTTCATCGTTGTTGCTGTTGCTTATTCCTGGAATGGTGAAATAGGATATGGGACCTGATTCGTTTCGAGGATCTGTTGTTTGAGAAGTTTTTTGTGACTGTTGTTGATGTTTTTGTGGCCGTTGTTGGTGTTTTTGTGGCTGCTGTTGTTGATGGTGTTGATGTTTTAATGGTTTTAATGACTTAATTATGTTGATGGTAGTCTAATGCATTCATAAATGCATCAGCGTTGTTGCTGCTGTGGAATATCAGTTTGCATGCTGTTGGTAATATTATTTGTTCTGCTGTTTGAGAGTATTTTTTGCCAAAATAAAAAAATTGATTTAATTCTTGCAAACAAAATTATTATGATCAAGTATATCTTTTAAATAGAATTGTTATAATTTTTGTTGATAATTCTCATGCTATAACCGGTAATATTATAGTTGCGTTAACAAAATCTCAAAAAAATATCTTCAATTTTGCTTGGCGTACCTTGAATCTTCTGAACTAACAGTGACTGCAAATTGCAAACGATAATTAATACATTATCATCTCCACTAGTATTAGCAGCAGTAGTTGTAGTAGTAGTATTAGAAGCAGTAGTGTCATCGGTAGTAGCAGCAGTAGTGGCTGTCTTGATATTTTCAATGTTGTCTTGCTTTAAAAAGTCGTTCAGCCTTTTTAAGAACATTTCAAATGGTTCGTACCCCGATTTCGTTTTTTGGGGTAAGAAATCTTTAATACCTGAATAACAGAATAACAATAGGCAAGCATGAAAATAATTTGATATCAATATGTTTTTTCGTCATTAAGTTGAAAAATTTATTTAAATCAAATATTGAGATGACGTGATTCAATTTAAAACTAACAATTTTTTACGACTCAAGAAAATTGCCTTCTTGAATTTAAAATAAGACTAAATGTTTAACAAAAAAAGATTTACTAAAAAAATTACAAAAATATTTAAATTCAAATAAACTGAAAAGTTAAAAAAAACATTAGATGACAAATGACACCGAGACTAATTATTACTAAACGACCTATATTCAACTTGTGGAGCTGTTGGGGCTGTTCAGCGTAGAGGGTCTGCTGTTTGTCACTCTCCTTCAAGAGATAGACCCTTAGAATCTGCACCTGGCAGCTGTCGACCTTGACCTCTTCACTCCACTTAGTCACGTGACACTGGGGGTGGTTATGACGCAATGGAACGTTTACCGTCTCCATGGAGATTATTTTACCTGCGATTAGGAAATCGGTGATGTTATCGTGTTTCTCTGTATTGTATTTTTTGGATATTTTGTATATCTTTTTGTATTTTTTCGGTATCTTTCGATTTTGTATTTTTTGTGTTTTATTTTTTTAAATATAATGACAAAAACCTTTTTTAATTTTATAAAAGGTGAAAGTTACAGCTTTTTTAGCAGAGCAAAAATTTTGCTTTACAACCATTTAAACATGAAGAATTTTTAAAACAATTTAGCGATATAAAAAATTTGCGTATTAAATAACAAAAAAATTATTAGTAATAATACTAAGTAGTATCAGTATTATATATACTGCTATATAAACTAATGACAGTGCATTTTTATAATATAAACGTCATTTCATTATACCTACTGCAGTAGGTATAATGAAATATAATGAAATGAAATGGTATAATAGGTATACTTACTGTAAGATATCTGAATTCGATGTGATTGTGCAAAAAAATAACAATACTACTACTACAACTGCTATTACTACTGCTGCAACTGCTGCAACTACTACTGATACTACTACTACCGCTACCACTAATATTACGAATAATAAAATTTCAAAATTATTTTCGTTTTCACTAGATAAAAGTTCACCTTTGACGTTTTTGTTATTTATTTTTTTGTTCATCCTGACGACCAGATCCTGAATCCTCTCAAACTTTTCCGGTATGACGTCAGTATGATATAATGTCACGTGACGTTGCTGTTGCTGTTGTTGTTGCTGCTGTTGACGTTTGTTTGTCTTTATTTTCATGTTATTGTTGTTATTGATGTTGTTGTTGTTGGTGTTGGTGGGGATGGTAATGGCAGTCGAGGAATTTATTTCAGAGCTGCATGAGTACCACAATCTGTTAGAGGGGAAATGACGTCATTGTCACCGTTATTATTATTATTATTATTATTATTATTATTATTATTATTATTATTATTATTATTATTATTATCTGTATTATCGCTAATTAAAATCACCATCACATCATCACCGTCATCGTCATTGTAATCATTATCCTCATCATCATCGTCATCACCATCATCAAATTCCTTATTGTCATCGACATCATCACTATCATCATAATTGTTATCATCATCGTCACCGTCATTATAACCAATTTCATCACCATCATCTCCATCATCAAGATCGTTATCATGACAACCTCAACCCTCTAGCAAAGTACGTGCTTTTCCCCTCTTCCAAGCTCCTGGACCCCACAAGAGCCATCCCACTTCCGGTATCCACCATCTTCTTTTCGTCATCAGTCATCCACGTGATCGTTTCGCAAGATTTTAATTGGATGGCGCCATCGGATTTGGCCAGCCAATCAGAGGCTCTCTCGACAATTTTCCTTTTTGGATGAATTTTATAAGTTTTTTAAATTTTTAAGTTGTTGTTAATGATTGTTGTGATTTTTATTCAAAGTTTTAATGTTCTTATTCTATATTTTACTATTTGTGTTGATTTTTTTCATTGCGGAATCGTTAAATTCACTGTTTTTATTGAAACGCGTCATCAATATAAATATTGCCGTGTAGCAATGCCGTGAACGGTGTGAATAATTCAAAAGCAGTTGCTCTATAACAATCCATGCTTGCACTAAAACTTCTGATTTTTAAATTATTATTATTATCATTATTATTATTTATTGTCATGTTTCATTTGTATTTGTTATGATATTATCATCACGGTGAAAGGTTAAAGGTTAAAGGCACCTGAGCCTGAGGTCCTGTGACCGTTTTCAAGCTTTTACTTTTTTATACAATATAGATAAAACTAGGTTTTCACGCGATGTGACGTACGTGTTTGTGTGTGTGTGTCTGTATGTGAGAGATATGTGTGTGTGTGATGTGTTTGTAATGTTTGTGTTTGTGTGTGTGTGTGTGTGCGTGTGGTGTATGTGTGTGTTTGTTTGTGCAAAAAATTGATAGCTCTGAAGGAAGTATATTTATTAAGAGAAAACCTATTTAACTTTCTAATGTTATTTAATGATTTCACTATCAATACAAGTTTATTTGCTACTATTTTTTACTTCAGTAATTATATCTATAATGGCACTGTTATTAATTCAATTTTGCGGCAAAAATATTTTTATATGAATTATTGAAAAGCTGAAAGAAATTAAAAAAAAATTATAATGAATAAAATGAAAAAATCTAGATGGAATTTTAAAAAAGATAAAAAAATATCCAGGGAAACAAGTCTCACGTAAAGTTTTCAGATTTTTCCCAAAGAGAATCGCAGACGTTAATTGCCAAGTTGGCGCCATTATTCGAGATGAAGTTGTTGTCGGAATGCGAGTTGGATTTAAGGAAATTATCGTTAGCTGGAGACCATGGCAGAAAATCTTTGTAGTGTATGAGAGTGTTGTTGTTGGTTTTGATGTTGTTGCTGTAGAAGTAGTTGTGGTGAGTTTCTTCGTTGTTGTCGTCGTTGTTTGTTGTGATTGGGATGTCACTGCTACTGTTGTTGTTGTTGTTGTTGTTGTCAAACATGTTGTTGTTGTTTCGAGAAAGATGAGCAATTTTGTTGTTTTATAATTTTACTTTAGTTTGTTGGATAGTTGTTTTGTTGAATGTCGGTTTTATCTGCAGCATGTATCGTTGTTATTATTATTAATATCATTATTGTTGTTGTTGTTGTAGTTGTTGAGTGGTTATTTTTAAATTAAACAACGACAATTAAACTATGAAGATGGTTGTAGAGGTCATTAAATCAGCAGACATAAAATGAGTGATGCAACTTCAGATTGAATTAAAATGACGGACAGAATGGAAATATAAGTTGTACTATAAGACGACAGTGATACTAATAAAAGATGCAGTAAGGAGTAATATTTTGAAAATGAAATGAAATAAACATTGCAAATAATTTAAATCTTCACTGAACTTTTATTACCTAGTTACTACTAAATTATTTTAAAATCCATTTTTCAATAAGTTTCTGTAATTATTGAACGTATCTACCCCACCAGCACAATCATCAACATTAACATAGCCGTGATAAATGAGTCGCACTATTTTAATATATGAAAAAATTAACGATTTAGGTACACATTTTTTGGGTAATACGTTAATTCGTATGTGTATATATGAGTGTGTGTAGAACGCATACACAAGCACACACACACACATACAGACAAACATGCACAAATACACATACACAAACTCATAGAGGTACATTATTCATGCATCCAAATTCACTCATCATTGACAGAATAAATATCAAACACATATAAATAAGAAACGAAATATTCACCGAGCAAGAAACAGGAAAAAAAATCATGTTCACTATTTATCACCCAGCGTAGAACAAAAACTCTACAGACAACCAACCGATATACCGGCCAACCAACTGACCATAGAACAAAAAGTCATAAAAATCAATAAGAGATATATGCTGTACACATATTGTTGTGCATATAAAGTTGTGTACAACTGTGTGTTTTTGGGTGTAATGTAAGGTATGTTTGTATATACAATCGAATGAATACATGAAATTGTTAAAAATAAATCACCAGTAGAATTGAAACTAATTAATGAAATATCGGTTTATATTACATCAATGCAAGCAAGCAAGGAGACGTGATACAGTTGGAACTTACACTGAAATACAGCAACATACAACCATCTACGCGCATTCCTATTGAGACAAACGTGCTAGCATGTTTTTGAATCAGAGGTGAAACAATAAACATGAAACTTTGAATGCATCTAATCAGATAACCGAGATTACAGAAGCAAAATATTCACACAGATTGAAACGCAGTATAAAAATGCAAACGACTATCAGACACACACAGAAACAAGCACACACACAGCAAAACAACACACACAGATATACACAACAACACAGACACACACACACACACTCTACTTACTGGCATTCAAAAACATTTGGCCGAAAATAAACTTGCAAAGCAAATAATGGGAAACAAGCCAAAGAAGTTTGTTAAATTGATCGAATGAATGATTTCATGAAGTAACATTTTTTCAAATGCTGAAAAAATATAAAGTCCGAAAAATGTTTAAAGAATAGCAAAATAGTGATGGGGAAAATAAATTAGAACGTATGTAGACGTGTGGTGACGATGGAATGGTTGTAGGAAAACATTTTTATGTGCACATTCAAAGATGTTCTCATCTCACATCTTTCGTTCATTTTGCTGGGTTGACATCCTTTCATGATAGTTGTTTTCCATATTCGCTGCAAACGCGTACGATGTGTGTACACGCTTTGTGCACTCCTGTGGTCTCATATGAAAATAAATATACAGGTGCGTATGCTGGTTTTTTTGCATGTGTGCACTTTTACATGTTTGGTGTCTATGTACACGCACACATGCACAAACACACACGTTAACACATAAATTTTATGCAGACAAAATAATCTCAAATAAGTTTTCAGAAATTTGTTGAAAAACAGTTTATAAGTAACATAGCCGAAATAATGGACATGAAAATGACTGCAAAATATGGTACCAGTGAATGTCTAAAAGCAACATGTTACCTATTGAGAACATCTTCATGCCTAACTAAACCAGGCCTGATAAAAAAGGTACTGAAGATAGTGTGCTACTAAGTACATACGCATACAAAAACACGTACCCTGATGTTTGTATCAAATTTGTTCAAAGTCATCAACACGTACCCTGATGTTCCTATCAAAGTCATCAAAAAACAAGAAACTTTATGAAGTAACGAATAGATAAAGCTGATGAATTAAGGGATGAATGAACGAATGAACGAATGAATGAATACAAATGTAAGAAAATTACTATTTAAGTACATATACATACATGTATATACGTACAATTTATAAAATGTACGGAATTTGTGTAATGGTTATGATACTCTGTGTAATGTTTTTACCTCTGAAGAATATTAACAAAAAAATTGCAAATGAAAATTTTGTAAATTTGAGTAGCGATAATGCTTCCGAATGAATGTTTCATTTGTGTATTACCAATCTTTTGCATTAAAATTATTTTTAAAATGAAATAAAATAAAATTTAAAAAAAGATTATTTAAGTAAAAGTAACGAACCTTTTAGTAATTAAATGAGAATTCGTCATTTGTATTCAGACAGTATAGAGAAATAAAAGTATCTTGTGAATAAATAGATGTAGTTTTTATTCAAAATGAAACTGCCCGGTACGATGACTAGTTAATTATTCTCATCAGTTAATCATCCACTAACTTATGTCGTATCACGCATCGTTGAAAATCTCTTTACTGATTTTATTATTCAAAAATGAGAAAAAACGATTTCATTTTCTTTGGGGCAGCGAATGAATTCGTCCCATTTATACGCCGTATACAAACAATATAAGCGAGTAAGCATATGCATATACAGATATATATGCACACACATACAAACACACACACACACACACACATATATATATATATATATATATATATATACACACACACACACATATATATATATATATGTGTGTGTGTGTGTGTGTATACCATTCATAGATTTGAACAATCTATGAATGGTATTTTCATTGTTGAATATGGTGTCATTGAAAATGTAACTGGTGATGAAATTGTGATCACTTTCATCATGTTGATAAATTTTTTGTCATATCAATGTTCTATAGTATTTTGGCTATGTTTGTCATCACCATCGTCATCTTCATCATCAACCTCTACTCATTATCGTCTAGTCAACATCTTGATAAACATTATCATCATTATCTTCATCATCATCATTTTCTTCTTCTTCTTCATCATCGTCACCAAATAATATTGTTCACTTAATTCCACACCATACCTTTCATAGAAAAAGTTCTGTCCGAGTTTATCCCAATTTAAATGTGTGTATGCGTGTGTGTGTTGGTGTGTGAGTTTGTATGTGAGTGTGTATGCATCTTTATATGCATGTGTGTGTGTGTGTGTGTGTATGTCAGTGTGTATTGGGACGAATGTATTTGTAAATGTGTGTATGCGTGTGTGTGTTGGTGTGTGAGTTTGTATGTGAGTGTGTATCCATCTTTATATGCATGTGTGTGTGTGTTTGTGTGTGTGTGTGTGTTTGTATGTCAGTGTGTATTGGGACGAATGTATTTGTATGCGTACAAGTGAATATGTGTCATACTCACAACTCTATGAATATACGTATATACGTGCGTAGCCGAATTAATGACGATATATGTTTGACATAGATGTACATTGTACATGTTATATGATACCATTGTTATATGATAGTGTGTGTGTGTATGTAATTCATTCAGATTAGGTTTGTCCTAAATAATGCATGAAAACGTATAACAACGTACGTGTGTGACTGTTTTTGTATGTATGTGTTTGACAGTCTTTTTCTTTTGTGCATGTGAGTGCGTCTGGTGTGTGTAGTGTGTTTGCGTTTGGTGTGTTTGCGTCTGGGTGTGTGCGTGTATGTGTGTGTGGGTGTGTGTGTGTGCGTGTGTGTGTGTGTGTGGGGGGGAAAACTGTATAACTTTAATTAAGATATAGTGTGCGGCGTTGTATACATTAACGTACGCACGCATCTGCACCATCGAGTGATTCATCCAACAAGTCGCAATCAACTCGCGTATATAATATTTTTTTGCACGTTCATCAATACGTGCAAATGCATTTTCAACCAACACTGTCAATACCTAAACGTTACTTTATGTTCACTGATTTTTTGCAATGCTTGACTAGAAATATTTGTAGAGACACAACATGGTTAAAGTTACGATCAACTATTAAATTATGACATATAATGATATACCATGACGTGAAAATAAATACTCCCATACACGAAGACACTCGCATACGGTACAACAACACAGTACGCAATACGAATACGCAAACCCAATACACAGGGCTCGAGTCAGCGTATAATTTTATAATCATACGCACGTCTGTATGAGCTTACCGTGTCGGTAATACATCTTATTTTACAGCTTCATAGCACACAATTACTGCTCTGCCATCTTTTATAAAGAGCAAATATTAATTTAAATTTTTTTTAATATTGTGTATATTTAAGAAATGTTTTCTACTGATTCAATAATTACTAATACTACCACAAATTCTACTGCAAATACTACAAATACTGTTGTGCAATTAGTAATAATGTTGAAATTTTTATTACTGTTGTACGTAATTTGGCATGGTAGTTGGTATCGATCAATAAGGCCTGATTAAATGTACGCTTGCATGGATGGGCGTTTGTGTGCGTCATGTGATTGCAACTATAGTTATGTGATGTTGTTGTTGTTGTTGTTAATGTCTTATTGTTGTTGCTAATGTTTTGTTGACGATGTAGTTGTTGTTGCTAAGGTTTGGTTGTTGTTGTTGTCAGTGTTGTTGTCAGTGTTGTTGTCAGTGTTGTTATCAATGATGATAACATTTTTGTTGATGACTTTGTGTCATATAATTGGAATTTTTTGTAACGTTGCACTTCTCGGAAAAGAGATGAAGTTTAATTATTTTGTCTTTTCGTAACTACGTCAATCAAAACACACCAATCCAAT